TATATATATATATATTATATTAACAGGATTATCTGTCTGATCTATTATTATTTATTTGTTTTGACTTGAAAGTTTATAATATAAGGAGTCTCGTGTCAGGATCTGAACAAAATATGAAAATACGAAAATCTACAGGCTGTATGAATTTTAACGACGGAGGTGTTGGAGGCTTTCAAATATAAATTATATCAATACAAGTAAAATATTATAATTTTCTTTAAAAAGTAATTCATATTAATACAAAAACTTACTTCAATATTAAATAATAATCAAGAAAATTCATATTATCATGTAAGTGAAAGTTGTGGTATAAAAATATTATGTCATAAAATAAATTCTAAATATTTATAACTGTGTTACGTACGCGCTAAATATGTAGAAAAAAATGAACATCGCCGGGGCGACATCTTTGTATCGGTAAAAAATCGTATAACGAGTGACGCCGCTGACTCCGCGGAACACCAAGCCGTGAGAACCAGAATATTCCACATACCACACAAGCAATAGAATGCCATTGTCAACCTAAAACCGGGGCAATCATGTAATCTTAGGTATAAGTTACAAGTTTTAACATGTAATTCTTATTTTAATATACATATACATAAGTATGGTTTTTAGTTTTCCTGGAACCTCCGGTCGCCACCCTACATAATTCCTGTATTAGTAATATTCTACATATGTTGTAGTTAGTTCTACTGAAATTAATGAATCAGTATTTTTGGCGATAAAATTATATTGAGTATACATAATACGTACTGTTATGTATAAAATGCTACATTCCATAACATTCCTCAAGCTAGTATGGATAATAGTGTGTTAAGTATTAAACTCGTTTTAGTTAAAAGTTTCTAACTATACAACAAATGTATTATATGAATTAAAATAAAATATATATAATTATCAATTCCCTTTTAATTAGTCTTTATATTCAGTAAATTCTTTTTATAATTTATGTAATGATAAACGGTGTTCAGTTTATTCTGTATTACATCGATATATTACAATGAACGTTGTATTAATATGTACAATTAATATTAATTACTGTTACTATAAAATAACAATCACTCACAGCTGTTAATGATCAGTAATTGTTTATCTGATCTACACAAAAGTATTGTAGTAACAGTTTTTTTTTTTTTTTTTTTTTATGTTAAAGGTGGCAAACGAGCAGACGGCCCACTTGATGGAAGGTGGTTACCGTCGCCCATTGACATCCGCAACAAAGATGTTGCGGATGCGTTGCCAACCTTGTTTTATAGGGATAGGGAGGGGTGGGAATAAGGATATTGTAGGAAAGGGTGGGAATAGGGAAAGGGCAACCGGCTCTCTCACTCATCGGACGAAACGCAGCCGTTAAAGGCTACTTCACGCCGATCTTCTGTGAGAGGGTGGTACTTCCCCGGTCGAGCCAGCCCGTGTTCGAGCTGTAGTAACTAACCACAGCTAGGCTCTACCACCTAAAACAGACAGTTGTATAAGTATTACAAAGATATTTTAAAGTTACTTTTTTTTACATTTCCATTAAATGTTCTTCAAATAACACTCTTTGACAATTCACTTATAATAGTAGGTTTCGTTTAAGTTAGTGTTCCTTTTCAAAAATTTAAGATTGTTTTAAATAATACCATGTAAAAAAGGAGAGCTATGTAATATAGTATTTTTCAAATTGTTTTCATGCATGAATGAATCATTGTATTACATATAACAGTCGGAGCAAACAACAATGTACATATAGTTGTGGTAATAATAATAACATGTGTACAGATGTTAGTAAGGACTGTGGTTCCTCAACATGATACTGTTATGGCTTTCCTCTTGTAACTTATGACTTCTTTGTGAATTATTATACATGTACGATACAGTTCACATACATATATGTAAGGCAGAGTAAAAATTACTTTAGGAAATAGTATTTTTTGCTGTTTAGTTCCTGTTTTCCATGTTATTACTTTTGAAGTTGTTTTTGTTTTCTTAAAAATAATTTTGTTTCTTGCCTTTTAGTGTGATTATAAAATAGGTACGAAGTTAAGAGTTATTTTACGTAGTTTTAAACAATAAGGTGACAGATGCAGAAAAAAAAATATGATAAAATACTAAGTTAATTTGTGTGTACCTTAAGAAGAGTTAAAAGTGTTAAGTATAAAATTGCATAATAATTCAGTTTTGCTGAATACCAAAAAGTTTTATTATATATACAATTGTTAAAATAATACAATAAAGTTATAATATTGAAGTCAAGAAAATGTTTAACAAAAACTTGCCATTGATTACCTATTCCAATCAAAGTCTCATTTTATAAAGTTGGTCAAATAAAAAATATGATCATTAAAACGAAAATCAAACACAATAATATAAAGAACCTCGAGGGCACTATTAATAAAGAAAGATTCAACGTTCCGAGTTAAAGAATATTTACATACAGAGGAACGTCCTGTTCTTACAAATATTTGTATAAAACAAATTTTTCTCTCAAATTTTTGTTAGTTTGTAACTGAGATGAGAATCCCATAAAGATTTTTGTATTTTTTATTATTTACTGCCTATTATTGAATTTTATAATAATATTTTCTTTGTACGAAACTTTGTTATTTCACAAAATTCGAATAAAATTTTATCAAATATGAAATCGCTATATTTATTCTTAAAGTATTTAAATAGAAAAAACAATGAAACAAGGCTAATTATATATCAAGCATTGATTTTGATAGTAATTTACAGACCGGGGAGGAAGTGTGTAGTGGAGGGAAGGGTCACATGGTACGGCCGGGTTCATGAATAATGAAAATATTGAAGGACGTGAAGGTATCTCTCGAAAAAGAATTTTAAATTCCATTTTGTAATATAAAACGATCCTGAATATTGCCTTATTTTCTTCTTTTTATTCTCAATTTCCTAAAAAAACAAAAATTATTATTAAAGTTATAGATACAATACAGAAACGTTGCAGGTTGTGAGAATGAACATTATAAAATAATTAAAGATACCTATATTAATCAAAGAAAGTATAAAGGATTTCGTTTTATTTTATTTATTTATTTTATTTAAAATGCTTTATTGCACAACACATGGAAAAAAAAGGGAAAATACTAATAATAAGTAAGTACATACATGGTGTGCAAAGGCGGTCTTATCGCTTACAGCGATCTCTCACAGACAACCTTTGGTGATAGGAGCTTAGAACGAAAACAGGTAAGTGAAGAAAAAGGTACAGAAAAATGAGGAAATATACAATATAATAATATATACACTAAGGTATAGTAATAAACTACACATAACTACATCCCAATAATCCATACATAGAAATATAATACATATCAAAATATACATATATACATAAATATAAACTACACATTATTACATACTTGCATACATTATATAGATATGGATAGGTAATAGTTTCTCAAACGATGCTTAAATATTGCCATATTTTAGTCTTACTTTCCTTGTAAATATTGACATTGTGAATCTTATCTAAATAAAAACTGCTATTAACTTTCACACACAACTTATAACACTCTGATACTACGAGTGATAAAGATAATCCTTCTTATAAAAAACATGTGAAAATTAAAACATAAAAGTGAACGATATCAAACTATTTTAATCCTTTTGTGTTTTAATGAAATAAGTAGAGATTATCACAACAAACTAGATCTGAAGTTTAATTGAAAGTTTGAAATTGTATTTCATACAATTAATATTTTTCAAATACTCCAATGAACTATTGTTTGATTCGTTTGTTTGCGAATACTAACGAGTTTGTGTTTAAAGAAGTTAATGATATTGAGTTGAATAGAATATTTTGAAAGAACCTAATATTCTTATTTTTAGACAAACCTGGCAGCGTAATAACCTAATTTGGATTCTATATTGTTACGAACGGGCAAAATATAAAAAAAATATGAACATAACCGGGATAACATTGTTGTATGGATAAGATATCATATAATAAGTGACGCTGGTGACTCCGCAGAACGAACCCCAAGCCGTGTGAACCAGAAGATTCCTGATACCACACAAGCAATGGCATAAGATTGTTATCCTAACATCGGGGCAATGATGTAGTTTTAGGTATGGGTTTTAATTTTAATTCTTATTACAATAGACAAATAAGATAGTTTCGTAGCGTACCTGGAATCTCCTCGTGCCATCCTATACAACTAAATTATAAATATTTAATACATGAAAATATTCCCACATATAAACTCATTTCCACTTATAACAAATACCTCAGTTTACAAGAGCATACTATCTATCATTGGAAACATCTGTACAAGACATGTTTGACATTTTTTTCTCAAATATTATAATTTTCAACACTCAAAAGTCCTACCGTCAGAACATAGAAGCATACAATTGTCATTTAGAAGAAAGTAACACAAAATAACACTTACTGGAATCTTTAACATAATTTATAAAATTTATAAATCATTTTTTTTAATATTATTTTAAAAAAAAGTTGCTATTTTAATGACGGTACAGAAAGAAAAAAGCTAAGTGTTATCAAACAATAAATTCTGTATACTATTGTATTTATTGTAGAATATTTGTATTAGTATGCAGTGTAGTTATTAATTATAATGTTACATAAGAATCAGTGGTATCGGTATGCAGGGTTATGTAACAGATCTACTCAGAGACTGTCTGTGGTCACTGAGGTCTGCAGAGATAAGCACAAGTTGACTACAACATTACAATAATTATTCCACAAAATATATGTAGTATATAAATTAAAATTAAACTTCCCCTAACAAAACCTACCTACTCCTTGGCAATGGTTTTATAAACTTAAACTTTCAACTAACTTAATAACTTCTTTTTTATGTTACATTCACCATCATGTATTTAGATATTCTTAAGGTGTGAAAGAATAAAAATATTTAAATAAGTATTGAAAGTTAAATGATGAAGTCTTCAACATGAGTTACATCAAGTACACGTTAACAGTCCTATACATGTATGTACGTGTTCGGTCAGTGTGAGGAGTGTTCTCCTTATCTTCAGTCACTGTTGGAGGCGAGGCGCTTCACACGAGCTTGGTCTGTAGAGGAGATGGTCATTACTGTGTGTTGAGTGACGTCACACTCACACACCATCCACAGAGCTCGGTATTTGATGATACGAACTTGAATCACATGCCAATGACGAGTGTCTGACACTACATTAAACTCTCTATCTAACTGTAACGCTCAATATAATAATTTTAAAATATAAAATGATGAACTCTTTTTATAAATGTGTTTTACTGTTAACTAATATTTTATTTGTAAATTATAGCTTAATTTCTATTCCTAAATGATTTAGAAATTGTTCATAGTTCGTTACCTTTTCAAAAATGTTTAATTAAATGTCCACACAAAGGAGTGGCACAAAAAATCATTAGTTCGATATTCTAGGTCTCCCTGCATAATGAATTTACAATAACGTCACAAAGCCAACGCTGCACTGTCGACCAGATTAGACTTGGAGGCAAATTAAATTACTTTGGGTTTATAATTCGGTGGAAAATCTTTTCCTATACCGTCATATAGATTATTTAAATAAATTCATATGATTATAAATTGCTAAAAACTTATTCATATAAAAATATTAAAAAAAACAATAGTTTTTGTCACAAAAATACCTTTAATCCATTACCAAACCAAGTGTACACAAATACGTATGTTCCCTTGTTTTAAATAAATCGTACCTAAGGCTAATTCAGTTAAATATTTATGTAAAGAATATTGAAAAATATGTAATTAATACTAATCGCTCCCATTTGTTCTCTCACAGAATATTTGTTTATAATTAATAAGTAATAATTATTAATTAATACACTTTATGAGTGTTATTTATGTAACAAGGAGATTATCTTAAAATTACTTGTTCCTCCTTTGTACTTTAAATACAACTTCTGTGCTCTGATATAGCAAGAGTTAAGATTTCATCTCACAAACACTATTTATTGAGATAGCTTGTTTCCACAAAAGAACATTTAATAAATATAAATTTGCTTTAGAAGACTAAAAGAATGGCCTTTGTAAATATCTATCAACAATTTAGGTTCAGAAATAATTAGAGATAGACAGAAATAATTAGAGATCTAATATCTTTAACACAACTTTTAAATAAATCTACATTTAAGCCATCTTATGGGAAGATTCCGACCGTAAAATTGAGGTGAATTCGGATGTTCAAATTACATTGAATCAAAGCAGTTGAAGGATTGGGTGAAAATATTTTCTCGTAAGAGTTTTATCATTTCTACTGATATTCTGTTTCATAGTATTATGAAGCGTCAGTTGACATCTGTAGTGGGGTTGGTAAAGTTTTACATTTCAATAGAACTGCGAGAGTTGTTGAGAGCAATAAGAGTAATTTTAAATAAAGTGTTTAAATTATTTTGAAATAGGTTGACCTGTATTGATTTACAAACTTTCTTATAGAAGTAATTATTTTGTATCGTTAATTGTGTTCAATTTTCTTCTTAATTAAAAATCGATTCTTATAATGATAACTATAACTAAACTTCGATATATATATTTATGGACATGTGTGTCTCGAGATTTCACACATCAATAAAGATTAATAGGTATAAAATATTCAAAATTATTGCATGAACTGGTAATGAATGGATCAAGAAATAAAAAGACGTTTTCTGGAAAAAAAAATTAAACACAAAATTTGTTCCAACTACGCGGTGGAAACAATTTTATACAACTTTGTTACAACAAAAGTAAAATATTTTCATCTAGAATTCGGAAATATTATCGAAAACTTCAATTTTAGTATTTACCTTGTTTATTATGTTTTGTCATTTGTATCCCGTCTTGTGACTTTCTGTTGCGGAAATCAACGAAATTGAAAAATGATATTATACGAAAAATCATTTTGGGAGGTATGATTCCACCAGGAGTGCAGAAATTTATGATGCGTCTCCGCTAATTAACACAATTAAATAATTTTATTACAAAATGACTATGAACCTAAAACATTAGACGGATAATATGTGAACTTTCCACCTTATTTTATAACTCCTTGTATATTATTTTTTTTTTTTTTTTTTTTTTTATGTTAAAGGTGGCAAACGAGCAGACGGCCCACTTGATGGAAGGTGGTTACCGTCGCCCATGGACATCCACAACATCGTTGCGGATGCGTTGCCAACCTTGTTTTTTTAGGGATAGGGAGAGGTGGGAATAAGGAAATGGTAGGAAAGGGTGGGAATAGGGAAAGGGCAACCGGCTCTCTCACTCATCGGACGAAACGCAGCCATTAAAGGCTACTTCACGCCGATCTTCTGTGAGAGGGTGGTACTTCCCCGGTCGAGCCAGCCCATGTTCGAGCTGTAGTGACTGACTACAGCTAGGCTCTACCACCTACATATAATAAATATGAATATATAAATACCGGTTATATTTTACATGCTTTTATTTTGAAATGTATCAGATAGAATTCATTAGCTATATGTACATATGTATATACAGATCAGACAAGAAAATCTTGATCAATAAATTATATTGAGCGGCTTAAATTATAACTTCATTTAAGTCTAGTAACATTTTTTAATATTTTTACAATTACTACGACATAATTGGTTTGGTATAATGATGCTTTAACAACAATATGTTTACTTCGAGTTTTGCATGAAAAATGTGAAATACTCTTGAAGTAGTATTATAGTTGTGAGGATACGGATATTATAATTTTGTCAACAACGTTGGAAGTTTAACATTTATTACTTACTAGAATTATTACAATTAGCGTTTATTTAAAAATTTGAATTGGAGGATCAAAAAACATTTACAAAGAGTTTACTCGTTACAAATATTCAGAATGAGTCTCGTTACATACGACCGACGTCTTTTTATTTGAGGGCTCTTACACAATCTCGACGTTCACATAGATAACTTTAAAACTGAAATGATCGCTTGGTGAATCAGATATAGAGAGAATTCCACTGTTAATAATGATATATTAAATTTATTTTTATACAACAGCAGTAAGAATTTATATCAGTGATAATGAATTGCTTGTATCGGTTTTACATAAATTTTTCAATTGGGCTTTTCTATAAAACAATATTTTATTATCGACGATTATTGTTTGAGTGGAACATCACTTTTATACTACAATAAAATTAACGTATTAGTCATCTGTATTCTATAAATATTTACTAATATTAAAACCGGCGAGTACATCTGATAAATGCATTTCAATGTAAATTGGTGAATTGAAAGTAATCATGAATTACGGCCTCTTAACATACTTGAACATGTTCCGGAGATGAGAAAAGGGCGTTATCAGACGATTGCTCCATCATCCACTGACATTATTGAGTTGTAGTGGAATTGAACAACTATCAAATGTCACGAGCAGGTACTCGTAGTCTTTAGACTTTTGTTTATTAGTTTGGATTCTGAAGCATAGTTTTCAATAAAACAAGAGATACGTTTCCTTATCACATTACACATGTTTATATCGCGCATTTAATAGTCTATGATAGAATATTATTTATTATTCAATTATTTCTTTTCATAACCATCACATAACATAATTTTGTAAAAACGTTACAAAAATAATAAATACAAGAACTATAAATCGGTATTTTCAGGAACTACATATATGTATGTCATTCCAATTAAAAGCAATAATTTTGAGATATGGTAAATGAAAAAAAAAATGGATATATTACAACAATATCGTTTTATACGATAAATGATGGAAGAAAATCTTTTATTTCACTATAATTCACAGAATATTAATTCATTTCAGTCTATGAATAAACTCTGTTTCAGTAATTTCAGTTCGTAAATGATGTCGTTCACTTTAAATAATCCAGTCATATCAAGCAGTGTTTCTATCAGTAGGTAAGCATTAATTTAATGAGTATGAAACTATACGCAATTCTTGCTTTGTTTATATAATATATTTTATAGTAAATTTTTTGTGTAAGGAATCAAAAATTTGTGAGACTCCGTTTGTTTTCTCAGCAAGATATTAGAAAGTCCATTGTTGGTATTGAAACTGCAACATAACAAAGTTGTGAAATATTGTGCAAAATGTATTCCTAAACACATCATTCCTTTCAGACAAGTATTTTTAATAGTATTTTGTCAGTTTAATAAATAACGACCGGTAGGAGATCAAGATAAATAAAAAAAGTATAATGAACAAAACATAGTCACGGACTTCAATATAATTATTCAAATATTCTTCAAAAATAATTTCAAATACTTAACAACGTATAATAAGATGACATAAGTTATATCAATTTTAAATTTGACTTGTTTATAAAAAGAGGACGAAAATACCTAAACTATAAATAGTTATAAACTGATAAACGCCATGATAACAAAATAATCCTCTTAGTTTCATTTATAGAACATCAAAAGATTGTCACGTAATGACAGAGACTGTAATGAATGTGGAAATTAATAAACCAATATTATTAACCGTTTCTATTACATTAAATGGTAAATAACAAACTAATCTCAATATATTAATGACATTCAGTATGTAATTTCAATTAAATAGCTTTCAACTAACACATATAAAAGTAAATACCTACATCAAACATTAAATTTTAAATTTTTTGTTAGTCCATTTGTCTATGTGTTTGTTATACTTTATTTCTGAAAAAGCGGGACCGAATCTAATATTTATTTTTCTAGCAGTTACATAAGAGCATAAATAGTATCTTAGGGAATTTTTAACCGTCTTCAAATAGGAAGTTCTCAATTGGGATTTGTGTATGGTATACACTTGCTTTTCTAAATACTTTTTTTAAATCAAAAAACATTGTTCTGACCTAGTCTCGTGTTCACCAAGTGAGGATCTAAGAAAGGTATCTTCGAGAAATCGAACGAAACATTATAAGGACGATGAGAAGTATCTAAGAATGGGTTTATTATCCCGGTAAGGCTGCGGCAATAGATGGTCTCACATGTACAGTGTAATAACAGTGCCATATAGTAATATATGTATGTTGTATAATTTGTAGCTAATTCATAATAAACATCAATTTCATAATAGTTTGTTTGATGATATTTATAATGAAGTATTCATAACAAAAACATATTGTCCGGGAAATGTTAAATATAAATCGTTAAATGTTCAATCCAAATAAATATGAATGTCTTGAGTCCCATTGTTTAAGTTTCAGTTATTTCGGGAACTCAGTTCTATTTCAGGGTAGAGCCTAGCTACTGTCATCCCGTCAACCCTGATTTTAATACTATATGGACTGAATTGCACATGAATAGTACCAGCCTTCGCTGAGTTGAATTACAATGAGGTGAACAGTTTTGTGGTCCATTTTTTATTATATTTTACTATACTAAATGTAATATTTGAGTAAAATATTTTTCAAAGCTATAAATATTATTAACATGTTAGTTTATGTAAGCAGTTTGATTTATATTCATGGTTACAGACTGTTCATAAAAACAAATAATTGTTTTTATTAAAATTCTACCTGTTGAAGTGTATTAAAAGTTAATAAGTAGTTATATTAAAGTATTTTAGGAAATTGTTTGCTTCCATTCTCATCAGTCTCAGTGTTTCATATATTTCGTATTTTATATTATTTATAATAATCCTCAACGAGCCAATCAAACTCATCGTCCTTCACACTCTGTACAGAACGACATTAATCACTCGCTCCGACTCTGAGAACTATTCCCTGTCTCAATAAAGGACCAGCCTATATATTAAATATAATACAATAACAAAACATTTTAAGTTACAAAATATATGAAATGAGCACGCACAACCAGCCTGTAGATTTGGTTTTCCATTTGATATAATTTAGGAGACAAAAGTAATTAGATGTCAACATGTTTAAAATAATCAAAACCTTCATATCAATACTATATACAATGTTCACTGTACATATTATACACATACAAAATATGGAATGAACGAAAAGATCCTCAGCATTTTATTAAAAAATATTGTAGGGAGAAATTAACATCTAAATTTACTAAAGCAAAGAAAAATGTTGCTTGAAATAAACCAGCGGTGCCAAGGGAAGACAGGAGTCGGTCAGTTACAAATATTTCATAGCAACGTGGATGAAGCAAATAAAATATAAATAACACGACAGGTTCACTTGAGTCAACTGAGTAATTTTTTTTTGCAAACTGTTAAATATTTTGTACATACCTTAATCAATAACCTTAAGACATTTGTGAACAGCTTTAGTAGTAAACTATCCATCACAATCAAAAATGTCTTTAACGTCACATGGAATTAATGATTTCGATTACAAAAAGTCGCAATATACAAATGTAGATAACTTTTTACAAATGGTAACCAGAAATATAATCATCATTCAATTCAATTAGTACTTGGAATTAAAACTATTTTAAGGCAGAAGTATTTTGTAACACTCAGAGGAATGTCTCGAAGTTCGCTTGTGGCTACAAAAGCGTTATCTACAAATATTATAAACATAAGTATATTCCTAATATAACTTATTTTAAAACTTTAATTTATAAATACGATAAAAGCTACGAAGCTTTAGAAACAAACCTCTACAATAAAAATAAAATCCATACAGCTTTACTTAATGATTTCAAATGAACATTGAACTGGGAATGTTTGTACTGGAATGAAGTTTATAAGATGGCAGTAGAAAGACAAACAATTTGTTAAAGGCTATTTGAACTGCCACAGAGACTAAAAAAGCTCAGATTAACTTAGGATTCAGAACAGTATTATTCATTTTTGTATAATCTATCAATAATAACAACAACTCTTCAACGTTTCAGTGTTACACAAATAATATTATGACTATACATCACTCTGGAACATATCCTATAAATATTTCAGGTTTAAGCATTTTACATAAAGGTCTTGCTAAAAAAAAAACGAGCAAAGGATTATCGTAAATCCCCTTCTGTATTATATAGAAGATATGTTAAATGCCTTTTAAATGAAATATAAATATTTTGTTTGTTTATTCTTATTACCGAATCTTTTCTTGATACTCAATACTGTTATAACATCACTGTTAGTCATCATTCCACTTATAATAATAATAATAAGTCAGTCGATACAACACAAACGGCCGTCTGACCTCGTCCTCTCTGATTGATGTATTCATTCTATACGAGTATGAACATCCATCAACATATATATACATCATTGTTTGAATATATAATATATATGATTCATGGAAACATTATTACCTATTTAAAAACATATAAACTATACATAGCTAATTTAATCTATTTACGAGTATAACTGTTGTCACAAATGAAATCTTTAAATAAGCCTCTATTAATAGATACCAGATACAAATATTTTAATTCAGAATATTTGTGAACTCTTCTGAGAGTATTTTGAAAAAAATAGGACAAAGTGTGAAAGTTAATATAATTTATGAATTAATAATATTTCCTTATTTGTTTATCCAATAAGGTAGTCTTCATAACTTTCCCTTTAACTCATCGTTATCTGTTTTTATGTCAGATGAGCCAATCATCTGACGTCTTGTTTATCTTATTTAATAACCAATTTATACATTTAGAAGCGCCTTCATTTATCATTTTCCATATGAAAAATGTAGCGCTATATTTCTGTTCTTGTAAATTTATTAAAAATTTGCACAAAAACATTCAAAACGTATCTTTGGAAATGTAGTTATATACCTAATTTAAAATCTTAAGACACTGTTCATGTTCTGTGAGTATCACTTTTGTAGTCTTTTAAATACTAAAACATTAAGTTTAACTCTCATATATAAATCATTTATAATCTCTAAGTCTTCTAGTATGTGAAGAATGTTTGATTTTGTTGCATACAAGGTCTTAATTTTTTTAAATTTTCTGTGCTTTTATTATTCCAGACAGTCATCATGTTTCTATTTAATCTACCAATTTGATACATTAGACAAAAATATTGGCTGTATTATTATACAGCCAATATTTTTGTAATCTTTTTTATGAAACAAACAATCCCATATAATTGAGGGATGTTTCCGCTAATGACCTGCACAATATACTTATAATGTTTAATAAGGAACATAGTTAGTATAATGTCTGTTGCTTGTCTTAAATCTATAGCTGCAGTATAGGAACATATATGTCTATGATATCATAAGTAACAATATTAATAATATTATCTTTGACTGACTTTGTAAGATGATGGCAAGTGTCACGTCTAAATTATCTACAGACAATAAATAAAACAAGACGTGAACTACTTAATTACAAAATTTAATTAAATAAAACATTTAGACTAGGTATAAATCTAGACAGCTAGGTTTAGGTCTAGGCTCAGGCGTTACTGGGATACGCTCCTTGTATCGGTTTCTCTAGTTCGGCTCCTAGCTTTCTATCGGTGACTTCGACTCGACGCATGTCCTGCCGGCCGGCCGCTGGCAAGGTCGCACAAGGTCGGGGTCCGAAGCCAACACGATGAATTTAACTCCCGGGGGTAGTTCCTGAAATGCCGGAAACCAACACATGTTACGGCATTTATTACATTAATCTAAAGCGCAATAAGCCAATAGTAATAGCTTAGCAGAAAAAGGAATCTAAGAGTAATAGTAATTAATTAACAAAAAAACTACGCAATTATTTTAAGATATTAAAATTATTTGTTGGTCATGGTTGAGGCAAAATTTAAATTTAATCAGAAACGGTTACATAAAACACTTGCTATTAATAAAAATATAAGAAGGTATTTCAATATAATATAACAAAGGAATTATGACGATTAATTTTTTAACATACTAAACTGCACTAAAAATTATATTTACATATTTATAAAGAAGCTACAACCGATATTTATTCTAGCTCAAAGGGCTACCATTAAGACGGCATAAGCATCTTAAATCTAATTATTCTAATGCTTCGCCTTGTTGATTTTAATTATGTATTAATATCAACAAGGCGAAGCATTTGTTAGACCATAAGCACACTAAGTACACTAGAACACATATAATTAAATTTTAAAATGCACAACTTACCCAGTACGGGGACAAATAACACTTACTAATGTAAGTTCCATAAAGGGAATAATAGAATTAAATTTACTTAAAACCAGATTATAATATTATATTTAACTAAGACTGGAACACGGTCCTTAGCGACAAGATACACGTAAGAACATAGGTATACGTATAGTAAAGCAACGACAAGTGTGCGCTTGCGGCCCGACGGGTTATTTTAAACTCGAGAATCGTAAAGGATATGTATACGTCTATAACTTTACCTGCGATTTATCTAATACGATAATCAGTGAGGACAGATTGTTTGTATATATATATTTTTTTTATAAGTATATATTTTTTAATGTAGTGAATATAGTTTATTAAATTTACATATATTATAAAATAATATGTTACACAAGAGTTTGTTATTTTGCTTTTTTTACTTTTCCGGATATGATTTAGTTAATTGTGAATTATCTTAAACATATGTTGGTAATAAAATAAAATTTTACACAAATAACCTTACTTATCTATAAAAAACTTATGACTCATAAATAGCCTCAAGCAAATAACTAAAGACGACTTACATTAATAATACAACAGTTAATAACAGATACGATCTTAAACAATGTTAGTGTTTGAAGTCACGTTCACTGAATGTATTCAGATGGAAAGACTTCAATAATATATCACTTAACAGTCGTTAGTTGAAGATCACTGAAGTAATATTTCAGATTAATAATTTATCAACTCCAGTAGCTATCAAGATGGATTACAACACTAAAATAACCCTCCGAATATTTTTACTAAAAGAGTCGTAGTAGATCATGGAGTTGATGTGATACATTTTGGTTTATAATTAAATCGTATTGCATTTACAAACACCTCCCTCTGAGCATCTTGTCACCTCTATCATGTTGTTAATAAAAATTTAACGACATGACTCGGTTTAGAATAAAATTTACAAGAAAAAGTCTTTCTAATTAGACTAACGATATTTATTTGTCTTAAAAGAAAAGTAAATAAGCTCACTACAAACAAATGTGTAACAGTTTTATTATAGAGATGTTGTTCATTCCAATAAAGAGTAAATAATGAGACAGACTGGAGTCCGATCGTTTACTTTAACAGAGATTATTGTGGAAAACACTCTGCTTGCTTTTAGTGTTATTTATGTGAATGAAGAATTGCATTGTTTTGTATTTATTTTAATTCTTCAATATATTCGTTAAATGAGTTTTATTTTTTTGTAAATACGTTAAACATTTTACGGATATAAAGTAGAGATTTCGCTAAACTTTAATTCAGAGTTGAATATAGTTGTTTATGAAAACTATTAACTTTAATACTTGACGTTCATGTAATGTTACATAAATCAAGTTAATGAAAAAAGTGTTTTAAAAAAAAATTAAATTAAACCAACATCGTTTATGTTATCGTTGTTTTCCATAGACATTTATTAGTGGGCTAGCTCGGAGTCCGCAGCCGGACGAAAACTCATTACAATGTAAAGAACACCGCGACCAGAGATACTTATGGACTTTGAATGCAAGAGAAATGATACAGTTATATAGAAAGATATGAAATATGATGATCTTCAATTGTTGTGTTTTATATGATACGACAATGTTGATAGATAAAGTTAAATAAGACGCTTCCAATATATGTTGAGCGATCCAAAGATCTTGAACCGCTCTCCTCAGACCACTCACAGTAATCACTCGGTCAATATCACTCTCGATACAACATATTGAACAATCACAACTCAATTTGTGACACCATGTAACACTTTGTGTATTTATTTACCTGTCCTTTCCCATTTTTATATAAGAATAAGAAAATAGATTTCATATTTCCACACCAATGTCAACATAATAATACAACTGTAGTTTATTCAATACTTTGTAAAGTATTAAAAATCTTTCTCAAGTCATTTGTTCATACAATAGTCAGCATAATATTCTCTTCTCACTGTATTGAACACACACAATAACAATACGACACTTGCTTGTTAACAAATTACAATTTTCCGTTTCATTTAATTTGTAACAGTAATATCAAAGACGTTGATCACAATGTATATATTGTTCTTTTAGCGTTTGATAGTTCTACACGACTCGTTTACATTTTATATTTCATAAGACATGACTCAGTAATAACTGATTTTGTTCAGGATAATAATACATTAAGAAAGAAACTGTACAAAGGTGTAAGGAAAAAAGAAAACACTACGATATTTAATGGATTTATAATATTTGTTATTCGAATCGGTTTTAGAATAAGACAATAGTAAGTATCTCTTGTGTTGTTCTCGATGTATCGGTGCTTTGTATTACACTTTCAAGATGAAATTAGATGTGAGTTGTCATGAAGTTAAATAAGATGACAATTATGAAGATATAAATTACTACAATTACGTTTGACAGCAAAAAATACATTCAATTAGAATTTAAACCAGCATAGGTAATTACTACTTTTAAGAATGTTTTTACATTTGTTAAATCTATAGCATCCACCGACCGCAAATACCATAAGTAACTATTGTAAATAAACGCTTCCAACTTTGTTATCTTATACCTTCTTTTGAAACTTTCATTTATAAAACTTCGATCTAACTAAACTAACAAATTCTAATAACATTATCAAAGGTTCTGATTCGACATCTGTAAGGAGTTGTAGTGACGGTTGTAAGATAAATAATTAATTATTATTAAAGCTTTTGTACTGCGAGTAATAAGAATAGTTAAAGAAAAGCCGGTGGACTTCAGTTTCAACATGAAACAAATCTCTTTTATTATTTGGATAAAAAATCTATACATGTTCGTCGTTTAAGGTGTTTCGATAACATTCATGTAAAAAGGAAAATTCGATAACATTCATGTAGAAACATGTTACAATTTTATTCAGACACCTAGTCAGACATAGGTCCTGAAACTTTTTTGTTATTCGAACAGTTAGACCCATATTCAAAACAGATGAAGCTGTATATAATTTTGAGGAAGTGTTTTCGAGATGAACCAGAAAGATCTAATTTTGTAATAGGAAATTAGTCTTATCTATAATCTTCCAAAGGTCCTTAGCTAACCCAATTTCATGACATGTGTCACTTACAAAACTCATTACTAATTTATAAAGAGCTAATTATTATGTTAGAAGGCAAAAGTGGAACATTCTCGAGCTTCTGTTGTGATCTCGAGATTACTTGTTAGTTATCTTAACAACTTTAACCTCACCCGGTTACCTCCCTTTTGTCATGTTTTGGTAATAATATAAATGTTTATTAATTTATCGCAATTGTGGTGTGGGACATTCTCGAACTTAATATACTATGTTACTTTTATAAAAATAAATATTTTTTTGTAAATGACTGCTTCTAATATTTCATGTTTAAAATGCCTTTTGAGCCTTAAAATAACAAAGCACTGAGGTCAAAAATTAAATAATCTCTATGGGTGTTATTTATGTAGCGAGGGGATTATCTTAAGATTTATTGACCCACTTAAGCTTAACCTACTTGTTTCTGTTTTGTACTTTAAATACAACTCCTGTACTCTGATATAGCAAGAGTTTAGATATTATCATACAGTTACTGTCTGCAGACCAGAGAACATTACCTAAATATATGTTATATTTTATTAGTACTGAATATTTAGTATTAACTACTGAACATCTTTCTTTACTTAAAGTTGTGTCCTATTGAATACAATACCCTTACCAGAAGATGTCAGCAACACACCACATTGATCATATGGGAAGGTGGGAAGTGAGAGGAGTTTTTTTTATGTTAAAGGGGGCAATCGAGCAGGCGGCCTACCTGATGGAGGTAGTACCGTCGCCCATGGACATGCGCGACATAAGACATATTGCGGATGTGTCACCACCCTGGACTTGGGAAGAGGGGAAGGAAAAATGGTAAAGGGAGGAAAATGGGAAGGGGTAGGAAAGGATGGGAAAAAGGGAAAGGGTCACCGGCTCTCTCACTCATCGAACGAAACGCAGCAACTAAAGCTACTTCACGCCAATCTTCTGTGAGAGGGTGGTACTTCCCCGGTCGAGCCAACCCATGTTCGAGCTGTAGTAACTTGACCACATCTAGGCTCTACCACCTCTAAAAAAAAATGTGGAACACTTCACGATTTTGCGTGTCATCCTTGCGCAGGGGCCATGCTAATCTTCTCTGTATCGTTCCAATTTTAGTATATGTACTGCCGAAGCGAGTACTAAAGTTGTAATAAAGTTTGAATATTTAATTTACATTGAGTCATATCAGCTCAATAATTGTAATGAATGGAAACGTTCATAGAACACAAATGTTTCTGTTTTAAAAATACACCGGTCATTATAAGGAGACTAATATATTGTATGAGCTGTTATAATGATTTTTATACCTTAAAAATACAAATTGTTTTATTCCTATGAGAATTGTAAAATATTTCTTCGAAATATCTATTAATTTGCAAATTTTTTACAGAAATGTTTGCAATTTTTTTAATAATAGTATAATTTCAAGTATATAGTCTAATTGCGTAACT